GTCTAGTTATTAAGAAATTTCATTTCATTTCTGAAGACACTTACTGCAGGTACAGTGAATATAACAATAATGAAAATAACCTGAGTCATATCCGCTTTGTTTTCGCTTTTTTTGCTCCATCGATGCCAACCCCATTACCGTTACCATTACCCCACCCTTTTACAGATCAAACACTTCTCAATTCTCTATAATTCAGTCTCCAATTTGCCAGCCCGAGTCCACTTCCTTTTATATTTTCATTCCGACGCGGATTTCTCTTCTTGCGCGTTCAAGATTCGACCCTTTCTGCTCTTGGATTGGATCTGACGTCCTTTCTCGTTCTCTTACTTGCCCTTCGCCTTCTCCTCAGTCGGCGAAGAAGAACCCGCTGCTATAATTTGTTCCCATCGCTTGTTTGGGCTCAAGATCGACGCCTCATTTGAGTTCTGATTCACACCCAGATATATCTTCGATCCAATGGCGGTTGCCGTCAGAGGAGGCCGAGGATCAGGCCTGGGTGGATTCAGCCTCCGCAGCTTCTTCTCCTACCGGATCTTCATCTCTGCCATCTTCAGCCTCCTCTTTGTCGCGACGCTTACCGTCCTCTTGAGTACCAATCCTTCCACGTCGCAGGATGACTCTGTAAGTTCCTCTGTGTCTGCATTTTATCCTTGATTCCTATTCTTTCTATTTTGAATTAAAATCCAGCCTGTAGTTGCTCAATTTGGAACGAATTATTATTATAATTTTACTGTTTAGCACAACCGACATTGTAACTGGACTATTTGAGCATATGTCGGATAACGATCGGTGTCTTTCCTTCAGGCGCTTCCTACGACTGGTAATGCCTACGTGCATCGAACCTTTTTGGCCTTAAAATCTGACCCACTCACGACCCGATTGGATTTGATATATAGACAAGCTAACGATCACGTAACACTCGTGAATGCGTATGCCGCATATGCTAGGAAGCTTAAGCTTGAAATTTCTAGGCAGTTGAGGATGTTTGATGAATTGGCACAAAATTTCTCGGATATTTCGCTCAGGCCAACGTATCGAGCATCTCTGTTTGAGTCAGATGGTCCAGTTGATGAGGACGTTCTGAAGCAGTTTGAGAAAGAGGTGAAGGATAGAGTAAAAATTGCAAGATTAATAATGGGAGAGGCAAAAGAGAATTACGATAATCAATTAAAGATTCAGAAGTTGAAGGATACAATATTTGCCGTTAATGAGTCTCTTACAAAGGCAAAGAAGAATGGGGCAATAGCAAGCTTAATTGCTGCCAGATCAGTTCCCAAGAGTTTGCATTGCTTGGCAATGAGGTTAATGGGAGAGAGGATCTTAAATCCAGAAAAATATAGGGACGAGGAGCCTGAACCAGAGTTTGAAGACCCCAGTTTGTACCATTATGCAGTATTTTCAAATAATGTGATAGCTGTATCGGTGGTGGTGAGATCTGTGGTTAAGAATGCAGGAGAACCATGGAAGCATGTTTTTCATGTGGTTACCGACAGAATGAATGTTGCTGCGATGAAGGTTTGGTTCAAGATGAGGCCGGTTGAAGGAGGGGCACATTTGGAAGTCAAGGCAGTAGAAGAATACACATTCTTAAATTCATCATATGTCCCAGTGTTGAGGCAACATGAGTCAGCAAAATTGCAGGAGTTTGAGAATGGGGCTGAGAACATTACAGAAGATGCTCTGTTGAGATCTAAACACATGTCCTTGTTGAGTCACCTGCGATTCTATCTGCCCGAGATGTACCCAAAATTGCATAAAATCTTATTATTGGATGATGATGTTGTGGTTCAGAAAGACTTGACGGGTTTGTGGAAGATTGATTTGGATGGTAAGGTGAATGGTGCAGTGGAGACCTGCTTTGGCCCCTTCCACAGATATGGCCAATACTTGAATTTTTCTCATCCCTTAATCAAGGAGAGATTCAATCCAAAAGCCTGCGCTTGGGCTTTTGGAATGAATATATTTGATCTTGATGCTTGGAGGAGTGAAAGTTGCACAGATCAGTACCATTACTGGCAGAAAATGGTAAATATTTTAATTCCTTAGCGCTGGTAAATATATGCCTGAAGATAATGTCAATTTGTCAATTTGTGTTTTTACTTTTCTTCTGACACTAGAGCATGGCTTTGGCAAGTGAAAGCTGATAAAAGGAAGTTACCTGATTAATGCTTTGGCCCTTGTGTATCGTTGTTATAGTCAATTGTTTGGTCTGAAGTTTAAAGTAATGAATTCTTTTCTTTTCTTTTCTTTTTTTTTTTTTGGTAATTTAAATTACTAAATTCTTGTTCGCACGGATTCTTGTATCAGAATGAAGACCGAACTTTGTGGAAATTGGGGATGCTTCCACCTGGTCTGATTACCTTCTATTCCAGAACCAAGTCACTCGACAAATCCTGGCATGTGCTTGGGCTAGGATACAATCCCAGTATTAGCATGGATGAGATCAACAATGCTGCCGTCATTCATTACAGCGGAAACATGAAGCCATGGCTTGATATTGCTTTGAACCAATATAAAAATCTTTGGACCAAGTACGTGGACAATGATATGGAATTTGTGCAGATGTGCAATTTTGGCCTCTAATCGAGTTAACCAGATGCTTGAAGTGAAATATCCACGACTGTTCACCGTGTTCCTTCAGAATTTTGGATCTCATGACAACAGCCCTTCAGAGCAAAGCTCTGTGTTGATGCCGTCTGATGATTTCATTGATTTTAATCTTCAGATGCAAGCTTTAGGTAAGAAAAATTGGATTGGAAAATGTACACGTAGTATTATTCTTTTTATTTGAGCCCCTTTAGTATTTCTTTATCTGCTGATGACAAAGCGCAACTCTTCACCTTTTTTTTTTTTTTAAATTAATACTCCTCCAACGTGGGCATTCTTGGTTGCTTCTGAATGTATCTTTCTTTTGTGTCCGTTGTTGATAAAATTACATGCCATACGGGAAGGTCTTTTGGAAGCGTGCATTGCCTACACTTTGCTATGATGGTGTACCTGTTTAGAATAAAATGTTAGCATTTCAACAGGATAAGTAGCTTTGTCGTTGGCTTCTTTTTGGTCAATGATACTGATTTCTTTCATTTTGACTTCTTGGATACCTGAGAAGGACCGAAGGATTTATTTGAGCTGCTGTCTCGTTCTGTAATATTCTCACTATTTTTATTAGCGCCGCTAAGAAGAAATTACATTGCGTCGAGTACATTTTTTGTCAATGATTTCTTTCAATGACATGTCAATGAATTCGGATTTTTTTGAAAAGGAAAAAAACAAATCAAAATGCTCGCAGACCACAGGTCTGTCAGTATCACTTCTAGGGAGGCAGTCAATGCCCCCTGGGGTTGATCCGTTTAAATCAAGTTAAATTCCTTGCATGCAATAAACATTGACCTTCAAAACCAGCAGCTCGGGGTAGTTGGCAAGCGGACTGTTAATGTTAGATTTGAGTCTGTGTGCATATTAAAAACACCTTTAAAATATTATTTTTCAATTAAACCTGATAATTCTGGCAAAAAAACATGACAATACTTTGAATTTGATATGGTTATATAATAATATTCCATCTAATCATAAGTTATATCTAACATTTTAATTAGAATTAAAGAAAATATTAAATCTTATTAATTTTGTCTAAAAATTCAATGAATTTTGAGCTTTACTCGTATTAAATATACAAATTTTAAGAATAAAATATTCTAATGTAATGTTTGGATGAGTGAATTTAGATTTAAATTTTATATTTTAAATTTCACATTTAAAATATTTTGTTTTGATAATTTAAAAATTTTCAAATTAAATGAAGAAGAGAAATAGGTTGAGAATCGAAATGAAAATGAAAATTAAAAGTGATAAGTATATTTTTATTTTTCAATTGACAAAAACACAGAATGAAGGATATATTTGAAGTGGCTAGAATTTTAAATAATTAAGATTTAGAGGTAATTTGAAATTTAAAAAGATATAATAATAAATGGATTTTTCTTTCAAAAATTTTGATATCTAAATGAGGGGTTTAATCCAAAGTTGAATCCAAATCTCTATTAATATAAGCACATCATTACATTTAACAACGCTTCTAACATTCATTAAAAATAAAAAATAAAAATAAATATAATAACCATTAATATGTATAGGACCAAATAAACAAATACTCTCAATGTCGCGTCCGCATCCGGTGCTTATCATAGTGATGAGCATCAAATGCTCATCAAGGTTAGGAGCAATCTTGGCTTTCCATTTCAGTTTTATTTGATTTATGCTGTCTATTTAAATTAATTTTTAAATATTTTTAATATTATGTTTATTAAAATAAAAAATATAAAAATATTTAATATTAAATATAGACTATTTAGAGTACATTTAAATGGTTAATTTATATAATTTTTTAATATTAAATTAAATCATTTAAATTATATCTAAACTGTAAAAAATTTATCTATATAGTCAAATTGTAAAATTATAATTTTTTAATATTAAATTAAATTTATACTAGCCAAATTGATAACAAACAGATATATTAAAAATTTAAAATTTTTTATATGAATAAATTTTAAAATATTTAAAGTATTAATTTAAATAGACAACAAGATCAAATAAGATTAAAATGAAGGACTAAAATTATTCCTTGCCCTGATGAGCACACGGCGCCGAATGCAATTCCCTCATTGTCCTGTAAATAGAATAAAATGACGTGAACAGCAACAACAGCAAGAGCATTCGCGGAAAGTGCCTACCTTAACAGTATAGTTCGTTAGTAATTGGAGACTCACAAATATAATAAAAAATCTGGGACTATACAACAAAAAATTATTAATGGAGAGGAAATCTTTTTTTGATCAGCGATAAAAGGGATAAAAGCAGGGACGGATCCCCCCATACCCCAAAAAAAAAAAACAAAAACAAAAAACAAAAACCCAACACTTGGATGGATGCTCCTTTGGTAGAAATTATGCTTGTAGAAATTTTAAAACTAGATTTTGGCCTCCACAACCAAAGTTTTATTTTAAGTTGGCCCCTTCATTCATTAGCTTCTAGATCAGTCCCTAGCTAAAAGGAAATGACATCTGCTGATGCAAGGGCTCCGATTCTTTTGTTAATGTCGGTGATTTTGAGGCCTTTTATTTTGAAAATAATTAGAATAACCCCTGTATAATTCCGCTGGAGTTTTTTTGGGGCAACAATTAAGAAAATTGAGAAGTCAAAAGGCAGCAAAATATAAAAAGGGCAGACGTTGGATCATTATGTGCAGTAAAATAATTGTGGTGATTGAGGCATATGAGTAGAACCCTAACCTTGCAGACCTTTTCTGAACCCAGAGTTTGCGAAGGAAATAATTGATAGGCAATCTGTCTGGAGAAGAGTTGCATGCCTTGCTATCAACTTTGGTATCAGCACCCAGGTATGTCTGCCATTCTTGCTTCTTTTGATACATACAGAAGGGAAAGATTGCCAACTAATTTGGTGGAAGCTCAGCGCTCGCGCTCATACAGATGAAATTATTGTTGTAGAAGGGTCTTTCCATACTGAATGGTTCGCGCTTGCCAAACATTCGAAAATTTGAGATTGCTGGTATTGAAACCCTTCAGAATTCCCAATAAATGTAATGTTTTCTCCAATAGACTCTTTGCTGATTGGGGATTACATAACTGCTATATGATGAAACTATTTTATGATGTTCTTTTGAAGTGTGTGATTTTTACTTTTTCAATTAGCTTGACATGCCAAAGCTGGTCCCGCTGAACTTGTGCCTTTCTATAAATGGCTCAATTTATGTTGCCTTTGTCCTTAGCCCAGCCAACCATGTATGTTACTGAGCCACTGTACGAGTTGAAGCTTTTATATCATTTTGATGATTTTCCTTACATTTCTTGTCTCGAGATCTACTGCTTCTAATGATCGAATTGATTATGCAAATCCATGTATTCCCCTTAATTTTTTTATATCCTCTCTCCTCTGTTTTTGTTGAGATTATGCGATTTTATATTAATGAAAAATTTCAAACTGCTTCAGAACTTGCCAAAGATTATGTTTTCATGAAATACTGCGTTAAGGTGGGCAAAAAGCATCGATTATGTATCTGAAAGTGATACAGTTTTCAATAGAACGTAAACAGTAACACATAATTGACCACGATAATATAATGTCGACACCTTCCGGATCTGTATAAATCGTACAATCTAATTTCCAATTTGCCAACAGAAATTCACCATTATGACAGCCCTAATACAGTTATTCAAATCAATCACACTGATGATCATTAAGCTTCCCAGTACAAATCCTGGAAATGTGTGACTGATTATTATAATTTCACTCGAAATTTAGTTTTGAAACCACACTGATAGTTTGCTCAAAAAAAAAAAAAAGAAACCACACTGATAGATGGGTCCTCATCACCAGGAATGATTGAGAGATCTTCGCCGAATTGTTTTTTTTTTTTCCTAAAACGTAAGCTCTAAATGATATTGCTGCTTCTGGTTGTCTTGAGTCTTGACTGTGACGAACTTTTCTCGCTCTTCTCCTCAAACTTCATCGTTGGTGCTGTGTCGCTTATAGCTGGGCAACAAAAAACTGGTATGCAGGAATCAGAAACAGAAAAATAAAAAAGGATGGTGATATCCTTTCCAACGCAAGTGGCCAGATTCTTTTGCAATATCCGTAATACTTAATAGCTCCTAGAATATTTGACCCAAAAAAAAAAAAAAAAACTCCCAGAATACTTTTCTTTTACGTATTGGCTTTTCTGTCAGCTAAATATAACCTAGGTAGTTTACTTTTGCATACATAATCAATCGGAAGAATCTGAGCTGAACATGTTTGTAAGTGATGGAAACAAATATATTGAGACCTAAATTTAGTACTTTATTTACGCGCATTCTAGATCCTCTGATTTTTGGACAATTTACTTTATAATCTGCAGGTTTGTATTGAATAATTAGTGTAGAGATCTGGTTTTTGCTTCTGTGTTTACTTTAATTCGTTGATGGTGATTACTTCATAAATCACTAGTTATGAAACAATACATACGTTGGATGTCAGAGTGGCTAAGCTTCTTAAATCTCTCTAGCTACCTCGCTTTCCTGAACTGAGGACTTAATGAAACGTACGTGGTTTTTTTTTTTTTGGCCAAAAAAAAGGTAAGTGGTTGGATCGCTTCCAGAGTGAGTTTGGTGTTTTTCAAGTACGTGTTTGCACAGTACATTACTCCTTACGCAAGTTTATTATTCTCTAAAATAGTATGGTATACGATGAGCAGTTTCATTATTATTATTATTATTTTTCTTCTTCTGGTGTCGACACGTTTCTTTTCCAGTTTGTTCACATTCTTCCAGGAGGAACATCTCCCACCATCTTTTCTATCTTTTTCAGAGACTCCCATGTCATATTGTCATGATAATGAAATGGAGCAGATGAAGCATCTGAAACCATTGAGCCATCACTTTCTTTCGTATCAACTTTGGTTCCACGCCTGTGTCTTCCAACTTCACCCTTGATTCCTTCATCATATTCATCATCCTCTTTGATGTTTCCAGCACCATTGTCCTGCATGGATGAGGAAATGTAGATAGTCCGACCAGATTCATTGCTGCTACATCCTTCTGCACCCGAGATTTGTTCAAAAGACTCCATTTTTGAGCTCAAATGATCAGGGGTTTGGGTTTATGCAACTAAAAGGGAACACATTGGAATAAAGAATGAGAAACAATAGTTGATGGATGAAAATTTGGTCTGGACTTCCATTAATAGGTAGTCATCACCGCTCGTCTGATGTAGCTGCATTGTATTTGGTCAAAAGCCAAAAGATATTGAAACGGTGTGGATGTTGTCTAATTCAGGTTCCAGGAATGTTCTATAACGAATTTTAAAGCTCTTGAAGTGGTTGTGTCTTCTTGTGATCATAATTATTATTTTTTAACTACTGTCGTTGTTATCTTAATTGGAAATCTGACATTTAGTGCAGATACAGGTGTCCCAATGCCATGAGCTGCACAACTGTAAAGAAATCCTCAAATATGAAAAAACAGTGCTTTTTCACTCTCTGTGCATTTAGTTTACCATACATAAAGTTCTGTCCTCAATAAAGAGAGCAGCAATCTGCAATGTCCATCTGAGATCGGAAGACTACTGGGATAAGAACTGGAAGCATAAAGACGAAGAGAAATACAAGTGAATAGGAAAATGAACAGTCACATGCGAGAAATAAAATAAATTGGAATGTAATCCAAATGATATTGCACAACTAGCCATCCATTGCATGGAGTCCAAAGCAGTTGGAAGGTGCACTATTCATGGCTCTTTGAGTTAAGGAGGAGAAAATTTTATATATATTTGTGCTTGCATATGGGTTAATCTCAGCCTAAAATTTAATCAAAGATATTTGGAAACTGGGCCTAATGAGATTAAGAAGAAGCCCAAAGACAAAGAAAATTGAGGGAGCCACTGGACCAAGGAATGAAGTCCAATAAGACTAGAAGCAGAGACAATAATCCTCCTTGAAAGAAATTGGCTCTGATGAGAGGAAAGAACAAGTCAGTTTTGTAATTATTATACTTCAATATCACAACCCTTGGGGATGTTTTAGATTATTATACTCTTCAGCATCATTTTCAGATTTTCAGATTTATGCAAGCCATAGAAACAGAAGCCCTCCGAAATCATTAGCACCTGGAATATCCTTTCTTATATCCGTGATCCGTCCTTCAACAACCGCTTCAAGCCAAGAATTTTCGTACCCACTCACTCTTTGAAAAAGAGCCCCTCACCCTGTCGTCATTGTCTCTCCTCTTTTTGATTGTTTTTACTTTTTATTTTTTCCTTTCTTTGTTTAACCCATCTCCCAAGTTTCCAACTTTAACGTACGCCATCATCCACACATCTATGTATATTCATGCCTAGCTCTCGCCTTTCGAGCCGCCGCGTTTCACAAGCCAATCAAACCAAACAGAGAAGCGCTGCCTTTTTATCCTAAAAAGAAAAATGAACAAACCAAAAAAAAAAAAAAAACAGAAGAAGAAGAAAAAATGAACAAGAAACAATGCCTTGTTAATCAAGTGCCCTTTTTTCTGATGGGTTCCACTTTCGCTGTTTCACATGCTTTGATGCTCTGTTATCGCATCCCACTTTCTAAGCGAGTTTCAATGCCAGCCGATGATTTTTATTTTCCTTCTCATCAAAGATTATTCTCAGGATTTTATTATATTTGGATCAACAGCACTAATTAGTGTTCTTGTAATTCGTTGGGATGTCCCACTTTATGTTTCCGGTTTCTACGTCCAAATACACTTTTGGAGGGCTTCATTTCATCCTCCAATTTAACGCATCAATGGATACATAATATATGCTTCAGCCAGACCTTACCCCAGGAAACAAGTGGAATCATATACTAAATCGAAACAAAACAAGAAAGAAGGAAAAAAAGGCATGCACCGAAAATGTCTTCTTAATGTGCCACCGCATTATATACCCTTCCTCTAAACTCACGGACGATGTTCAAGAGAATTCAATTCTTAGGCATAATCAAAAGACGAGATAGTGATATATAAAATAAAAACAAACGCAAGACTTAATTATTTCCCTGGATTTTTTTTTTCTTTCTTTCTATGCTCTTCTTTGTCTTCTTGTCTGCATCTGATTAGGATATGAGTATACCAAAAAATCTGAATTTCGACTCTCATGCTAAGGATATGTATGTTAGTCTGGAATTTGTATTTGTACGACAATGAGAACAAGTTTATTTAGGATGTTATAACCTCAATATAAAATCGGAGCATTTAAATTCAGGGCATAGGAATACATGTATTGTAATGATCCTCCATTAAGAAAAAAAATTTCAGAAACGCTCATCGACCACTCTCATATTCCGTGCACTCAAAATCACAGGAATACGACCTTCCCAAAACCAAACTTGTGCTATTTCTAGCATGGCAGTTATTAATTAGCCAGTTCCAAGTTTGCTGCTCACTGGATTGATCCAGCTTCACAGGAGCAAAAAGTTGACCCAGAGGTTGGTTTAGCGAGGTAGGTGGGGTTGCGGTCTCCAGCCATGATCACAAGCACCCTGGGCTCGGACTCAGTCTCTGGGTTCTTTGGCATGGCCTGCTTAGTGACAGTGTCTTCACCTGCAGAAGATGGCGAGTGAGATTGAGAATAAGCACGCTTTGAGTAGGAGCAAATGAGGACTACGAGAGCAACAGATATGAGAGCCATCATTATAGCCAGTCCTCCAAAGAGGTAAGGAATCGGTGACTTCCATAGCCTAGCCAGGCCAGATGATCCACTGTTTATCGGCCTCATCTTTCGTTCTTTCTTTCTTTCTTTGCTCTCTTCTTCTTGGTTTTTTTTTCTCTACACCCTGTAATGCAGTTGCACTGAAATGAAAGTCCTATCTCGGATTTATAGCAAGTTTTGCGAGATTTTGTTTTACAAAAGTACCCTTTTTGTTTCGAGGTAGATTCCTTTTTGTGTTCGCCCGAATCGATGCTTCATGCGGATGTGGAAACTGAGAAGTGCGTTGATAAATGCTTTCATGTGTGTTGTTTGTCAGTTTCCTTCTTAAGATTATCCGGTTTCTGGTTTTATTATAAAAAAAAGACCACACCACATGAGGCCCCAAAATTTTGGTTCAACTTTGTTGACATTTCAGAACTCGAAAAGATATCAGTTTCTTCAGTCCAATACAAGGGAAGTAAAAGAGCCATAAGAAACTTGTTTATCTGTAAATGCTTTATGGGGCTTACAGGTACAATGTGCAGACTTTTTGGATTTATCCAGGATATCCCCGCGCGAGTGTTAGAAACTGATTTCTCAATATACTGGGATTGCATTTAAGGGACTGACTTCTTCTAACATGCACATACTCAGGAACTGAACCCTAGTTACATGCTTAAGAGACCCAGAAAAACCACCTGCCACACTTTGTTGCAAGAACTCGCAATGTACAGACTTTGTCTGCAGTAAACATTGGCGTACGTCAAGCTCAAATCTCAAAGTCAAAAGGACCAATTTAGAATTCAAAGTCTGCAGTGCTAGGTATGATGACGGGCATGCAGAGATGAACCATACGTGTCTGTCCTCTCAACTTCAGATTTCTTCTCTTGGTCATGGGAAGGATGACATACACTATTACTATAGATTGAAATAAATAATGTATTATCGTCACGTCACGTGTTGAAGAATAATATATCCTAAATTTAAATTATTTAAGAATTATACGCTTAAAAATTGTGTGGTGTATAAATGTAAACGCGTTCAAATATGTCCACTTCGCTGAGCTCGGATTGATTCTAGTGATCAATCTTTGAAGTGATTGATATGGCCGACACCATCCTTTAATTGAAGCACCAGATAGAATGAACAACAAATCAATCAATTGTCATATTGTTTTGATCGATTTTTGGTCCGTTTTGAAGTGGATCGAACTTAATTAATTTTTTATAGTCGTGTGTATGTGAATGGGTTGTGAGATCGGGACATCATAGTTGTTGTTCGTCATTTCACAAAGATTTTAATTGTCTATTAACGTTCTAAATCTATATTGCTGTGCAGAATCATAATCTTATATTATAATCTAAGAAATCTAAGGGGAACGGCAACCCTGTTTGCTGTTATCTGAAATATTCGATTTTCATAGTAAGATTCAATGTTACCGGACCATATTTAATCATATTTCATGGTTAAATTGTCAAAATTGTGGCCTTTAAGACTGACTCTTTACTGTGTAAGTATAAAATATTGAGAAAATTATTTTAAAGTCCCATTTAAAATAATTAAGTACTCATAGGTCTATTGTGTTGTCATTCTGTTAAGCTCAATCGAGAATAAATCTGGAAGTAATTAACTATCTTGAATGAAAATTGTAAGTAACTTTTTTTAAAATATTTAGTATTTTATATGTGTATCCAAAGAATATTGTATTAAAACATGAATAAAAGAATTACAGTTATTTTTAGAACTCAAAATAACTACAGTTTAGTAACTCCACAATTCCATTCCATTTTATTATTAAGCTTAATTAATCCATTTCTATTGGGGCTTTTACAGATATGGCCTATGATACCGGACCAAACCAAACAAATAGTCTAACAATTATTTTATTCTGTATTATGGCCATTTTATTATATTTATCAATGATATATTATTATATATTAATAATAAATTCTTTATAAATTTTCAATAATGAACTTCTATATATTAATAATAAACCTTCATATATTAATGTGAACTGAATATATTTTTAAATTTTTAAAAATTTAGTCTATATTTTTTGAGTACAAGATTTGTTTCATTCAATGGGCCAATTTATCCATTTCTATTTTCCGTTTATTATCTATAATATTTTTATTTTTTAAAACAAGAACACAAATTTATTCCATTCTATTTTGCTTTTTGCCCTCTAAAATCTGCGTGTACGAAGGTGGGCTAAAGTCAAATTCTGGGCCAGAGCAAAATTGCTTGAAGGCCGACATATTTTGTTGTTAGTGGCAAACACAATACTACCAACAGGGTGGGATTGGCCTTCGAGATTTTGGACTTCAACAGGAAGAGAAATAAAATTTGTTGAAGACGCTACTGGATGATTTGTTACCTTTATTGGTTTTAGCCATTGTTTTTTTTTCATCATTTGGGAAAAATAAAATCCAAATCATTTACTGAATAGATTTTGTTTTTGTATTGCGAATTTCGATCTCTTTAATAAACCTAAGGTCACGTTTCACAATTTTGCACAATCCAGGAAAAAAATATACCTTGAGAAAAATATTATGAGGTGCCAAATATTTTTTCGCTGTAAATGTGGCTGCTCATTCTTATAAAAGAGACCGATGCTCCGATAGGAGTATGAGTGTAGGACCCATGGAAGGAAATTCATTCTTTTTCTAAATTGGCCAAGAATTAAATAGAGAGAGATAAAGGAGTAATATTTGGTATCCAGCTGGATTAACAATAATAACTTACTGTAAAAAAATTGGCTTGCAGTGTGAACTAGAGAGAGAATACATTAGAAAAAAGTTAACATTTGATTAGACAATTTAATTTGTCAAAAAGATTAATAATTTAATTTTTTAATTACAATATACTCATTCTAGTCTGAAATATAAGCAGCTTTTAATAATAATTGGTATATTAATAAAATCTTTATTTTCATGAAAAAATATATTTTCTTTTATTTTTAACAGTAGTTCTAGTTTAGGATGAATGAGAAGGTCAAGTAAATGTTTGAATTGAAAAAATAACTAATATCTCTTCATGACTTCATGGGAACAAGTTTGTCTCGCCTTGAGGCTGATACATATCGTCTTTGTGGTCTTCCGTTTGATATTGTAACTCTAGCGTGCTCGTTGGATAGAGATTTGAGATTGGTTTGGTGGGGGTTGCTGGGGCTGATCATGGAGGTAGGGATAGAAGTAGAAAATTGAAGGTGGTATGGAAGCAAAGGGACAAGGAGCCTGACCGCAGCAATAAGGTGATTGGCAAGGTTATCTCAACAAAAGGAGTGAATCGCAATTCCACCATTGCTACTATACACAATGGATGGAATCTTGGAGAGAGCACGAAGATTGTGGAGATGGATCAGAATATCTCTGCGTTCACCTTTGCACATATGAAGGAGAAGGATCGCATTTTGTGTGGACACATCCTTGGACGATCCATATATCGGGGAGGTTTAGTTGAAAAAATGTTTGTAAAACGAGGCAGAGGGAATCTTAGTTAATACCCTCTTAATTGCGCAGGACACAATGAAAGAAAATGAAGGAGCTGTTTGAATTTTTTTTTTATTGCCATGAGAATTAGTATTTTGTAAGACATATTCTGAAAACAAAAATGATAATATATATTTTTTTCATTCTTCCTAATTTTTCAAAACAATAATCCCAACACACCTTAAAGTTAATTTTCAAGAATAATATTTTATTTTTTATTCTCTAAAATATTTTTTAAAATATATTACTAAACAGATTTTTTTTTGTTATAGAGAACAGAAAACTGTTTTCAGAATAAGTTGCTAAATAAACCCAAATACTCCTCCATCTTTTTTCTATAAGATCAAGTTTTGACTTCTGAGAGGTTGAATGCTATGTTGGTAGGGTTTTCTCTCTAAATATTAGGAGATTTTAGAGAGAGAGTTTTATTTTTAAATTTATCCACCAATTTTTTTGTTACTACCTCTTGCTTCTCTCTATTTTTATCATGATATTTGTAGTATGGTTACATTTTTTATCATAAACTCTTGTTAAACAAGCAATCTATTTAATTTTTAGATTAATTAAAAAAATTTAATTCTAAATTTTTATATTAATTTTCAGTTAAATATTCAAATTTTAAGATTATTATATATTTAATAATTTAATAAATAAAATTTTAAATTGGATAAAATAATTTGTAATTATGTTATTTAGTCAATAATATATGATAAAAATTATTATTATTATAATATATAATATATTAAAATATTAAATTTTATCATATAAATATTTTTATAAATAATAAGGTTATTATTGTCCATATAAAATTGATAACTTTTCTTTTCTCTTTGTTTTCATCCGCTTAGCCAAGTACAATGAGAAAAAATTATGGAGCTGTTTAAAACTATTTTTATTTGATTATTTTGAGAACTGATATTTTGTATAGCATGTTTTAAGAATAAAAAAATAATAAAAATAGATTTTTTTTATTCTCCCTTATTCTCTAAAACAATAATCACAAAATACTTAAAAATTATTTTTATTTTTTTTTCTAGAATAATATTTTATTTTTTATTCTTTAAAATATTTTTTAAAAACACATTATCAAATATATTTTTTGATTTTCTTGTTTTAAAAAACAGTCCTTAGAATAAGTTTTCAAACAGGCCTTGTATCCCTTTACCTTTTTCTCTTCTCTTTAGTTTTCCTCTTCTTATTTTTCTTTCCTTCTTATTTTCCTCTCTGAGCGAAGTACGGCAAAAGTGTTCCTTTTTAATTTTAATTTACAAGATCCAACTAGCAACTATCCGAAAATAATTCCAAATATACATTCCTAATAAATAATTAAACTATAATAAAAGAGTATTTAAAAGTATGCAAATCATTGCATTTAATTAAAAATAAAATTGAAAAACAGATATAAACCAATTTTAATTAATTACTTTAATTTAATTTTTACTACTGGATTGTGGTTATTGTCTTCTATAAGTACTTTCCAAACTTCGCAACCTTTGATCGGCTCGCCACATCTCCACTCGCTACTTTTTTGCTCTGCAATGATCATTAAATTTTAATCATCTCAAAAAAAAAAAAATTATCTCAATGATTATGTTTCAGATTGAATATTTTAGACTAAAATATAGTTATTGTTAAGGGTGAGCTTTATACTAGTAGTTGAGAAGAGCAGCTTGGCTGGTGGTAAAATTACAAGAGGCTTTTAATAAGAGGAAAATTTAAAAAGATGTGTTTAATGTATTCAAGAATGAAAACAGAGGGATTAGTTTGGATTTTAGAATGGCCACTGGCCACCGCCACAGCTCAAGTCGAAGCGGCGAATTAATATCACCTTGTCTTTTCCGATATGTTCTCTCGCCGTTTACAAACAAGTTTTCCGTTTCTCACTTTCTGCCCATCCTATCTTTGCCCTTCCCACCAAATCCACGCGCACACGCTTCTCCATCTTTAATAATTCTCTCTCTCTCTCTCTCTCTCTCTCACATAAGGAAAAATTCTGCTGCAATATAATCAAGCCATTTCTAAAAGGGAAAGATGTTGCTTTCACCTACCAGCTGGTTCTGGATAAGTTTCGGCGTTCGTTTCATCATACGATATATATGTATATCTCTTGCGTGATTGCAGCCGCATAGATCAAATATTGTTAATAATCTTATAGTAAATATTCGGAGATAATCAAATCCCAGGTTGATATAGTACTATATCCGATAGCGAGACATCTCTTGTTCTCACTATTCAAGAGACCCCCAACAATGAATTAATTACGTGATGGACCCCAAAAACCTGTCTTCTGGATCTAGACGGACAAAAACAATATCTGAACACTCCACGCTTCCATTTACATCTTCCCTCAAATCAACCTGAAACATTACACTTTCATAAAAACTAGAGGAGGAGGAGGATTAAGACTGAAAGAGTCATGTCAATACATTGGATAAGATAATTATCATTTTTTCTTGATCATCTCGGAGACTCCTTACACCGATTGGTGAGTCGGATGGGTGGTAGATGTTGAAGGTAGTGGCTTGGCTAAGAAAGTAGGATTAGTATCTCCAGCCATAATGACCACTATATTTGGCTCTGAATTCACCACACCATCCACATCCACCGTCTTGCTCTCTCGCTCTTGAGAAGAAGAGGAAGAGGAATGTTTGCGATGAGAACAAGCCAGGATAAGCAAGGCGAATGATATGAGGGTGAGAATGATGGCTAAGCCACCGAAGAGGTAGGGAATGGGAGATTTCAGGCTTGGCAAGCCACCAGCTCCAGCTTCAGCCATGGACGACGGCATGTTCCCTGTTGCTTCTGCAAGCGCACCGTCTGGCTTCATTTCCATCCCCACGCGCTACGCTTTCTTTCTTCTGTACAAAAATCTGGGCGCTGTCTTATTCACTTATGGCCGCCGAATAAGAGAGTATTTATAGATCTTACAAAGTGAAAAAGTACAGCACAGGTGGCTACCTACTACAGTGATTGGATCTTGGACAATTCGGGAGATGATAGCACAGATCCATTACTAATGAAAATCTGAAATGGCCTTTCTTTATCAAGTCTGACAGGGTCCGTATTCTTTCTTGTGCTGTTTGTGCTCTTGGAAAAATGAACCTTGTTGGCTTGATGGGATTTTCTCGATCCTCCCTCAATTTTTATTTTTATTTCTAAGTAATTTTTAATATATTTTATTAAAATTAAAAAAATTAAAATTTTATTAACTCTTTAAGAATTTAATAATTTTTTAAATTTATTCCTGTTAAAAATATATATGTATTTAAAAAATACTTTAATATTTAATAGAGGCAAATGATCAATAAAGATGGGCATCAAAAATTATAAAACACCTTACAAATATGACTAAAATGAATATTGTCTCTATGCCATAAATTGGGGCAGGGGAAAATTCGGGCTTGATATTTTTAATGTTTTACTCTCTAATATTGTTTATAATGCTCAAATATTTTAATTGTTTATTATACTTATATTTTATATAAAATGATAGAAATTTGATATCTTATAATAATAAAATAGTACTCCGTTTAAAAATATGAGATATTTTTAACTAAATCTTACTCTTAATAAAGTAGTTACTTATTTTTAAACTAACTTTATCTTTTTATATATATCTCTATTTAATAAAATGTTTCACAATAAAAAATATAAAGTAATCTACTTAGTAGGGACACTTTTAAAAAAAAGATAATAACTACGTCTTAAAAAACTCAAAATACTTTATATTTTTTAATATTTAATTTTTAAAAAAATATTTTATATTTTTAAATGAATGGAGTATAATTTTAGGGGTGGAAAAAAAGAAAGAGAAACCAAGCAATTGGGTTTTCTTCATTTTTTAAAATAAATCATAAAAATTACAACACTTTATCATTTCATATGATATCAAAATATCTTCAATTTTCGCTAAAGATTAGGATATTATAAAAGGCATCGGAGATTGGGAATACTAGGGAGAAAACGTGGGGCTCGAACTATATAGGGTGAATGATTGTCACCTGTTACAAACTCTCATTGCAAGCTGTAACTGATTGCTTGATTCATTCAAGCAACGAGGAAGAAATAAAGGGAAGAGGCAAGAATAACTGTGAATTTGTGGGTCCCACCTAATGCTCGGTGCCTCGATGTTTATCTTGTGGAGGACCCCACCGAAACGATTTTGGTCCTCACAATCCAAGTATTTCCATATTTTGATTTCGAGTCCCTTCACATTTTTTAAGAAAACACCGTCTTCTTTTTAAAAATATAGTTTTAATTATTCCACTCATTTGAATAATATAAAGAGAGAATTTCATTTAAAAATTCAGGTAATAACATATTTTTTTGATGGGTCTTAAAAAATTTCAAAATCTCAACTCAGTTCTCAAGGATGAAATTAAAAATAAATTAAATATAAAAAAAATAAAATACCCTCAATTCAAATATTAAAAAAAAACACTAGCCACTATCGCCAGAGCATCACCTTCGGTGATCAGAGCCTCATCAACAACGACAGCCACTAGACCTCCATCGCTGGAGCTCCAATTGCTAGCTAGACTATCATTGACGATGGTTGGAAAATTATGAAGAATTAATTTTTTCAAAAATAGCTAAGGTGGGTGTAGAATCCAAGACTCTTTGGTTCACCAAAAAATTTTAGACCACCAAGTCACTCAACCCATTCAATAATATAATGCATAAAATTATATATATACTAAACTATATATATAATAAACTTTATTTTCAAATCACTTGATTATTACGTTACTTATTAATTATATAACTTTACTTGTTAATATATTAACATGACTTATCAATTACTTAACTCTTCTTGTTAAATCTATGACCTCTACAATAGAGTTACATTACTTATTAATCACGTAATTGTAATTGTTAATACTTTAACAAGACTTGTTAATTACTTAACTTTTCTTATTAATCCCACGACTCTTGCAACAGAACTAAATTACTTGTTAATTGCATAACTATATTTATTAATACTTTAACAAGACTTGTCAATTATTTAACTTTCCTTGTTAAGTTCGTGACCCTCACAACAGAGCTACATTACTTGTTAATCATGTAACTATAGTTATTGATACCTTAGCAGGACTTGTTAATTATTTAAATTTACTTTTCAAATCTATGACTCATTCAACTGAACTGCATTACTTATTAATCATGTAACTTTACTTATTAATTACGCAACAATACTTGTTAATTGCACAGCTTGACTTGTTAATATCATAATAAAACTTGTTTAATTGTTGTTTCGAAAAAGCAATTAAATTACTTGTTAATTGCATAACTTTACTCGTTAATTCCTTAACAATACTTGTTAATTATCTATTGTCACTTGTTAAATGAATATATGATTTATATAAAAAATTGAGTTTTTTAGATAACGAAAGCAATAACAGTCGGGTCTCTCTTATTAGTATTCATCAAATTAGATACTCAATTATATAAGCATATATATATATATATATAGAGAGAGAGAGAGAGAAGTACCCTAAAAAAATATAATATTAACAATGAAAATTGAAGAAATGAAAAGCTATATTAGGCTTTTAACAAGTATACTTCTTGTCATAATACTCAAGAAGTTTAAAAATAAGATTTATTATACAAATAATTTTGAGGGAGTCACGAAATTAACAATAAAGTTACATAATTAACAAGTTAAGCTATGTAATTAACAAATATTGTTGTGTAATTAACAAGTTACATGATTAACAAATAATGCAGTTCAATTGAAGGAGTCATAAATTTGACAAGTAAATTCAAGTAATTAACAAGTCCTATTAAATTATTAACAAAAATAGTTACATGATTAACAAGTAATATAGCTCCGTTGTGGGAGTCACAAACTTAACAAGAAGAGTTAAGTAATTGACAAGTTCTATTAAGGTATTAACAAATATAATTACGTGATTAATAAGTAATTTAGTTATGTTGCAGGATTCATGGGGTTAACAAGGAGAGTTAAGTAATTGACAAGTTCTATTAAGACATTAACAAGTAAAATTACACGATTAACAAGTAACGTAATAATCAAGTGATTTGGGAATAATATTTATTATATATATATTCTTTTATGCATCATATGATTGAATGAATTGAGTGGCTTAGTGGTCCAAAATTTTTTAGAGAACCAAGGGATCTTGGGTTCTACACCCACCTTGGCCACGTTTGGAAAAATTAATTCTCCATAATTCTTTAGCCACCGCCGACAGTGGTCTACCCGATGGCCGAAGCTCCAGTGATGAAGGTCCAGTGGCTATTGTCGCCAACGAGGCTTTAGTCGTCGGTAGCAGTGCTCCGACAATAGTGGTTGGCAGTTTTTTTCAAATATTTAAACTTAAGGTATTTTAGCCTTTTCTACATTTAACTTATTTTAAATTTAGTCCCTAAAGACCGAAGTAAGGTCTTGAAATTTTTTGGAACCCACCAGAAGATATGTTGCTACCTAAGTCATTAAATGAAATTCTCCATAATATAAATTTTGGAATTTTTTAAAAAATGAAACAAATAAATGTTAACAAATTCAAAAGGAAAAAATCATATTCAAAAACCTAAAAAAAATAATTCATTGATAAAGACTAACAACAAGTCTCATTTAAAAAAAAAGCAAGTTATGTTATCATTTGAATAACAAGTCATTTTATAGTGACCTTTATCTGTAAATAATTGTCTTCCTAAGTTCTTGGATGTGATTCTCTTAATTCAAAAATGCTAATCAATTGAAAAATTAATACTTCATTCAAAAATAATTTTTCTATAAAAACTAGTATGGATCCTATTTATTACATGAAATTTGAAAGAGTAAGTTATCACAGTATTATTTATGATTTAACAACAGTGCAACTTCACTTAAATTTTGATCTTATTATATTGTAAATATATTGATGAGAAAGTGTAAATTAGTAATTTTTTCATTTCTTGCTCTCCTTAAAACTAATGGAAGATTTTAGAAGGTAATTGATATTACACTTAATTTAAATATATCATATTAAAAATACAACTGCTGGCAAATTTATTTCCTCGCATCATTGAAAAAGGTTGGCCGATTGAGATGGAAGAGGATAACAGATAAAGCAATGTAGAAAATAAGCAGAACGCCAACAACTTCCATTTGATTTTCTTTTCTAACGAGTACTAGCACCACTTTTATGTGTGATGTTTACTTTTGATAATTTCTATTCACTATGAAAAATTTAAAGATTTAAAAAGTATTATATGTTAAAAATAATAAATGATTATAGTTTTTATAAATTTTATATTCTATAATGAATTAATGATAGTAGCTTGGGAAAATCACACCTAGATCCCATTGGACAAATATAAATGCAGCTAAGTCCCACCAAAAAGAGAAAATATTTTGCAGTCTTTGGTCCCTTGGTGTGAATAATTCAATAAGTAAAATTGCTCATTTGCCTTAATTGAATCAAAAAGAGAGAAGGAAGAAAGAGAAGGCATTTGCACGCAATGGAGGTAATGAGCTGAGCTCTCGCAATTGTCTTAAGAAAAGTGAGTCAGGTAAGATCATTTTGTAGCTTAAATGCAAACCCATTGTTATCCTTTCATTCCATATTGTTACAATTTTTGTCTTCTAAGTGTGTTCGGTGTCTGCAACTAATTTTAGTATTAATATGACCATGCCGAACAAGGTAAATGATGATATTAGTTTACCTGTATTATTTGCTAATCATTTAATTCAGTCTTTTATTGTTTAATGGTCAAACAAAGTCATGTGGGTTGTCTCTTTCTCTATTTATAAGTATATCAATGTGGGTGGTCTCTCTTTCTCTCTTCATGTGGTATATTATGGTGAGCAGTCATTGATCTTGCATTTGTAATTGTGTATTTAGGATTATAGTGCTACTTGATTGAGCTGATAAATTTGTTATGAAATGGCAAGATGTGTTATTAATAATTTAAGCATAAGTTATCAATATGCTATAGTTAGT